CTTATGGTTTTCTTAATAACATTTTGTTTTCTCTAGCTTACTTTATTGTAAGAATACAGTATATAATACATATAACATACAAAAATGTATAAACAACATATCAAAATTTGTGGATGAAGGTAAGGTAGTACTTATAGGAAATATTATAACACCAAACATCTCCACTATAAAAGGAAAAAGTACTCAAATTAATGACTTTAAGAAACTACAAAGACAAGAGCAAATGAAGCTGAAAATAAATAGAAAAAGAAAGTAAATAAAGTTTCACATAAAGATCAAAGGGACCAAAAACAGTAAAATAGGGAAAACTGATTAAACTAAATGCTAATTCTTAGAGAACATCAATAAAATTTATAAACCTAGCCACGCTGATCAGGAAAGAAAAAAGAAGATAGAAATCAATAATATAAAAAATGAAAGTGATGGTATTACTACAATATTTACACATACTAAAAACGATAACAGTACTATTATGATCAATCTGATGCCAACAAATTTGACTTGTTGCTGAAATGGAGAAATTCCTTGAAAGAAACAAATTACCAAGGCTCTCTTAAGAATAAATAGATAATTTGAAGAGCCATGTAGTAGAGAAATTGAATTTTTTGTTATAAATCTTATCACACACACACAAAAATATTCCAGACTTCACTGGAAAATTCTACCATTTATGGGGAAAATAATATCATTTATACAAAAGCTTTTTAGAAAACAGAAGATGAAAATCTATCAACTCATTTTATGAAGCCAGTATTACACTGATATCAAAATCAGAATAAGAAAACCACAAGTCGATATAAAAACTCAAATTTTAACAAATCAAATCTGATAACATAAAAATGATAAAATATCATGACCAAGTAAAGTTAATCTTAGGAATGCAATGTAGGTTTAGCATTTGAAAATGTTGGTGAGTCATCATATTAGTAGACTAAAACAAACAAAAAAACCCCCTCAAAAACCCCTTACATGATTACTTTGATATAAAACATTTAATAAAATCATTTTCAAACTGAAATTCTGTTCCCAGAACTCTCACTAAAATAGGAATAGAAAGGATCTTTTTCAACCTAAGGTATCAATGAGTAACCTGCAGGTAACGTAATTGCTAATGCTGAAAATTATCCATTATGATTGATTTGTGACTGTCTCTTTATTGAGGTAAAATTTACATAAAATTTACCCATTTTAACCATATATTTCAAAATATTTTATAAAAAAGTCATGTATCCATTGCTACATACTGTGCTCTCTTCCTCTATGCAGAAGTCCTCTGTCTTCATACCAAGCCCCAGCCCCCAGCCCCAGTCTGTGAAAACCACTAATATTCTGTCACTATAGATTTCCTTTGTCTGGAATATAAATAGAATTCTATAGCTTGAATTCTTTTGTAACTGTCTCATTTCAGTTAGTGCAATGCTTTTTAGCTTCATCCATGATTTTGTGTTCATTAGTAATATGGCTATTTTTTAATGCTGTATTGTTTCATTTTATGTCTAAACCACGTTTACCCATTCACAGTTGAGGTGTGGGTTGTTTCTAGTTTAAGGCTATTATGAATAAAGCTGTTAATTATTATTCATGTATAAGTCGTTGTATGGTCATATATTTTCTTTTGGGGAAATACCTAGAAGGGGTATTGCTGAGTCACATAGTTAAGTGTGTATTTAAAAAAAGAAAAAGACAAAGCCCACCTTCCAAAACAGCTGTTGGACTTTTCATTTTTTAAAAAACAATGTGTGAGAGTCGCAATTGCTCCACTTCCTTGCCAATCCATGCAACGAGGTATTTCCCTTTTGTTTTGGGCGTGTACTTTAGTTTAGTCATTTAGTAAGTGTCTCCCCTGGTTTTAATTTGCATTTCCCTAATAACTAATGACGATGGGCATTGTTTGTGCAAAGTTGTCATCTGTGTATCTTCTTTGGTGAAGCTTTTGTTCAAATATTTAGCTTATTTTATTATCTGTTATTATTGAGTGGTTAAAATATTTTTCATAATGTGAGTACAAGATCTTTCACTAGATGTGTGTTAAAATCTATTAAATTTGTGGTTTGTCCTTTCATTTATTTTAGTGTCTTCTAAAGCATTTTTTTTTAATTTTGAGGAAGTCTATAAAAATGATCAATTTTTTCTTGTACGGTTTGTGCTTTATGTGTGGTAAGAAATCCTTGTCTAGTTCACTATCTGCTCCTTCCTGTGCCTTCACAGTGAAATGTAGCTGCAGGAAAATATACAGCTTTGCTAACTCATCTCATGACTATTAAATCCCAGTACATTTTCCTATTCCATTCACACTCCCGCTGTCCCTGACAATTATCCCATTAATTCTCATCTCTTAAAATCTACCAAAGTTTTTGCCATCCTTCCTTTTAGCTGATGCCCTTCTTCCTATTTCTCTGAGAAAACAATAACTTCCAGAAATGCCCATCCTGTATCTTTGCTCATTTATACCAATTCCTCTTCTGCTACTTGAAGTGTCTATGCTCCAGGCAAAGGCTAATTCCAAAACTTATTCACTAGATCCCATTCCCCAAACATTTTCAATTCATGAAATTCACTCCAGCATTTCTCTCTTCAGAATCATCATTTTTCCTTCTTTACTGCATCATTCCAACCCGCATATACACACATTTCCAGTTCCCATCTTAATTAGGTATTTTGATCCCATGCCTCCTCTAGCTACCATTCACCCTTATTCTCTCTCCCTTTACAGTGACACTCATAGAGGGCAGTTTCCACATCTTTCCTCTCAGCATCATCCAAACCTGCTCCAACCAAACCTTTGCCCTCAGTAATCCATCAAAATTGCTCATCAAAATCACCAAATCTGTAGGTCAATTCTCATTTGTCATCCTTATAACTAACTGTATTTTCACAGTTTTAAAATATGGACTCTTGAGAGGAGATGTACCTCAATTTTCCTATTTTGAATATTAAAAATATTTAATTATATGTACAACCCTCATAACATATTGGTTTAATGACCAAGGAAATTTCCATAGTATCTTGGAAATGAAAGATCAAATTAGAGCACACCATAATTTAATAACCATAAATTTAGAGAGAATTCTGTTGGAAAGTTTACATGAATTTCTGAGACTTATTTACCCTCTCAGATTCTTTAGATGCCTTTATAGCATAAGAAAGCATAACTACAAAGATTACACTATGATGACAGATACTCAAAGATTTATACATGTGCACTTAAATTATTCACAAATCTTTTTTACATTGTTTCATAAAATATAGTTTATTACAACAAATCCTGTAAAATGTATGGTCCTTTCATAAAATTACAATAAATTTGCCTTATGACCTTACATTTTAAATAATTAAAAACAAAAATGAGAAGCAAGATAGGCTATTTATTTCTATTCTAAAGAATATCATTAAGATAAAAACAGGTGCAAAAATAATTTGCAGTGTTATCTATACAATAGCTAACATGTAAATAGCTAAAATGTAAAATACAAGTATTTCATATTTTATTTCACTAAACTGCTCATTGTTTTTGTCACTGTTCATAATACACTTATCAAATGAAAACGAAAGCCTTTGGCTCCAGCTGAAGTTAATTTTCCAAAATGTGACTGTTATTATCTAGAACTTGCTCAGTTTCCAATCAAAATCACCAATGGATTTTGTAAAATTAAGTTATAGTTCCTTCTCCATTTATATTTCCAATTACCATGTAATAAATTAAAAAAAAATAAAGCTGTAGTTTTCTTTAGGACTAATAATAGTAACTCAAGAACTGAATGGAAGGAAATGGACCCATAAACATGTATGACAGGTTCTGTGGAAGAGCTTTGCAAAATTAAGTTTGAAAGTACACTAAGCTCGGTGTTACGGGTCACCTAGGACTCTCTTACTTAACTCGTATCAGTAAGAGGTAAGTGAGCAATATGTCAAATTAACTCGCTCAATTTTCTTTTCTCAACTTTTCCAATGCCCTTTAGGAACACCATTACTGATAAGCTATTGTTGCATTTACAGATAAAACCTGATTTTGGAAGGCTGATATTGCAATAGCCTAAATACCACAAAATTGAAAACTGTGCAGTACCAGTTGTTTCATCATACTAAAAGGAAAAATGAATTTGTGGGTGAGCCATTTTCTGTTGAAAAGGGAAAAAAAAAGCTTCAGAATGACTTTACTGGTTGATTTCAAAACTTGTTGAGATTGCTGACTGAAAAATTAGCGGTTTAATATTTTTACATATTATCTTTCATATATGAAATGTTACAGTTATAAGAAAACAGACCCTAGCATATTGTATTAATCTCATTGAAGCAGGAATTCTATTTAAATAAAACACAGTGTTGGTAATTTAAAATAATTTAGAAATCTATTCTATTTAAAGTTTTCAACTTAGTACAAATCAAATCTATCACCATGGAAAATGCATAACTAATGAGACTCAAATTCTTATCAGTATGAAATAACTAATCTATCTTTTAAATGAACCATGTAGAGACTATATTTCACATGAAAAATTATAAATTGATATAGGTATCAAAAGCAATTCCTAAAAATACAATTATGTCTGAGGACAACATTTATCCTACAACTTGCCATGATAAATATGATTTGTTACTTTTTCTCCACATGTCAAATAAGCAGTGTGGTTTTGTCTATTTTCCTTATATGTGCAGACAAAAAATAAAAATAAAATAAAAACAATTGTCTTTTCCTTGTCTTTATGGATTTCTTAAGGCTAGTCAAACAATTATTTACAATACTGTTGCTACTTTCTAAACTCATTGGAAAAAACATTTTAATCATCTGGTGATGGTGGAGATCTAGGTTGGAAATATCTTTTAAATATAAAAAACCATAAGTAAGCTAGAATTGTTCTAAAACAACCATATAAAACAATAATCTTAAATGTATTCGTTTCATGTCAAAAATTGACCTAATAACTACTTGAATATATTATTATATTACTTAATTTACAGAATTGATTTATAAAGCATATATTCACGAAGCATATGTTGTTATGGACACAGAGAGGAAACAATCAAGTCCCTTTGTTTTATGATCTATGTGCTTTGCACTCTAATGTTCCGCATGTCTCTCAGCAACACTGGTCGGTAGTTTTGTTCCAAAATTTCCATGTATTCAAAGTAATCACTCACTCGAAACCCATGCAGTGCTTCTTCCTGTCAAAAAATATAAAGGGAACAGTTCACTTGCTTGGGTAAAGACACACAATTCTAAGTTAATAAACTGTAAATAGTTGGTGTGTCTTTTTTTCCAGCTATAAACAAGGAGTTTCATGTTGCTAGTAAATGTGTAATTATTTTCTATTTGATAGGCTGTGCATGTATATGATAAGAAATCATGTCCCTAATGAAACAAGGTTGTCTGTTTTCAAAACCAAAAATGTTTTACAGCTAACAAAAAATAAAACAAACTCTTAGATAATGAAATCTTCCTAATATTTTAGATATAGTAGGTCTCAATTAAAGAATGATTATTTACATTTGTAATTAGTAAAGACCCTGGAGCTTTTCTATTAAAGAATACTATAATACTGCAAGATAGATCTGTTTACAGCAATTGTTCATAAAACCTTCAACAGCCTGCAATTCATAATGCTGGTACTATGCACGTCTATACTAATTTGGAATGTAATGGCTAGTGTTCCAAATGAGGCACTCAAAAGTAAAACAGTAGGGACATCCAATTAGAATCTGAGCAACTGTTGGACTATTTCTTTTAGCATCTTCAAATACTAGCTCTTCAATACCTACCGGTCAAAGTTAACAACAACAAAAATCTGCATAAGGAAGATTATGTTTGACTCAGTGTAAGAAGTACATGTATCATGTTAGAGTTTTGGAGGTTATAAGAAATTCTGGATAATTCATGCCCTTCTGGAGATTTTAGTTTAAAGGTAAAATTTACTAGAAGAAGAAGAGAGGGGGAGGAGAACAGAGAACCCATTGAAACAAATAATTGATGAGAACTTTCCAAACCTATGGAGAGAGCTAGATCCTCGAATCCAAGAAGAAAAAGAACACCTAATTACCTCAATCCAAAAGGTCTTCTCCATGGCTCACTGTATTAAAACTGTCAAAAATTAATGTCAATAAAAGAACTTTCAAAGCAACAGGAGAAAAGAAGAAAATAGCCGATAAAGGAAAGCCCATTAGGTTGTTACTGGACTTCTTAGCAGAAATTTTACAAGCCAGAACAGAATGGAACTGACCAAATGGGAGATGATATTTGGTAACAACAGCTCTGACAAGGGGTTAATATCCAAAATACTCTTATATAAAGAACTCATATAACTTAACACCAAAAAAACAAACTATCCAATTAAAAAATGGGCAGAGTACCAATGGATACATGAAAAGGTGCCCAACTTCACTAGCTATTAGGAAAATGCAAATAAATTAAAACTACAATGAGACACCACCTCACATCTGTTAGGATGTCTTTTATCAACAAGACAAGTAGTAACAAGTGTTGGGGAGGTTGTGGAGAAAAAGACACCCCCATTTACTGCTGGTGGGAATGTAAATTGGTACAGCCACTATGGAAATCGGTATAGCAGTCCTCAAAAAATTAAGGAGCGGGACACAGGAGCCAGGAATGCCTCTTCTGAGTATTTACTTGAAAAACTTGAAAACATTTATTTGCAAAGATAAATGTGCCCTTATGTTCATTGTAGCGTTATTTACAGTGACCATGACATGGAGACAATTGAAGCATCCTTTGAGAGATGAGTGGATAAAGAAGATGTGGCACATACATGCTATGGAATACTGCTCAGCCACAAGATGAAATACTGCCACTTGTGACAACTGGGATGGACCTTGAGAATATTATACTAAGCAAAATAAATCAGCCACGTAAAGCTAAGAACCATATGATTTTGCTCATATGTAGGACAGAAAACTGAAACTCACAGACACAGACAAAAGCATGGTGGGTACCCAAGGGAAGGGGACTGGGAGGGTAGTAAAGGGTTAGGGTTAAGGTTAGTAAAGTGTACAGGGGGCCGAAGAGATGATGTTGCAAGACAAGTTGAATTTGGGTGGTGGGCACACAATGTAATATACAGATCATGTATCACTGCAATGTACACTTGAAACCTATATAGACTTATTAACTAATGTCACCCCAAGAAATTTAATAAAAAGAAAAAAGTACGGAGGAAAAAAAGTAGATAAGTCACTTCGAGTGGGTTATACTGTAATAAAGAATTGATTCTCATGAATAATCACCAGTAAGTAATATAAAATAAACATTTGCCACAAAAGGTGTAGAAGTTACTGTACACTGAGGTCATTCAACGAAGTGTTTGCATTAATGTCAAATTTCACATAAGAAGAAACAAATCATATAATGACAGTCACATGAGAAAAGGGGTTTTGGGGACACACCCCTGCTCTTCATCCTTGCTAGACATGAACCTGTGTGTGCTGTCTGACCTAGAGTATGAAAAAGAACCTTCTTCTTTGATCAAAGGGTAGAAACACAACCTGCAAGTAATATTTCTTCTAGAGGATGTGTCCTGGGGTACTTGGTAAAATTAGAAATTTTCAACGTCATATCTACAAAACTTTTGAATCCTGATTTTGGCATTCTGGATTCAAGCTCCAAAGTTAACATTTTTACATATTCTAAAAGTTTTGAGCTACTTGAGAATTTGTACAGAATCTGAGAACTCAGGACTCTATCATGAAAATTCTGTCTTAAAAGGTCTGGGGATGGGTCTAGATATATCAATTTTAATAAGCACCCTTGTGATTCTTAGGATTAAGAAAGTTTAAATAGATGTGTGGTTCTGGATAGAATATGAGGTTCTTAAATATTTAGATAGAGTAAGGGGTTCTTAAAGATTTTTAACTCAGCTGAAGAGTTCATGGGCATACGTGATGACTAGAAAGATGATTTAATCTTGACTGGGTATGTAAAGAAATAGACCTTGAGCAGATACAATGTAAATGAATGTCTCCGATGTAGAACTGAAGGTTATGACAATGCCAGCTATTACTATGATATAAAATACTAAGACATCTTGGGCTGGAGGGAAAAAAACGGGAGCAAAAGTATATCATCTAGCTATGGACTGAGCAGAAAACTCTGTTTATTTTGTTTCATTCTCTACATGACCTTTCTTAAATAAGAACAAGAAAGACATGGGAGAGGCATGGAACAGGAATGTAGAAACTCATTTTTTTTAAGAACTTGCAATGTGCCAGAAGGTGATGTTTTAGAAGTACCTTACAGATATCATCTCATTTTATTCCTCAACAGCCTTATGTAATAGGTATTATTTCACACCCAGTTATACAAATGAAGAAACTGAAGCACTGAGAGGCTAAGCAACATTCCCCAGTTCACATAGTGAAAGAGCCAGAATTTTAATTCAGGTGACCTCAAGTTATAAGGACAAAGCAGAAAACATCTGTAAACCACAGTTGACAAAATAGTGAGCATGTTTTATCTATTCCCTCAGATAGTAAATTATTTTTATTATTATGCGTACTTTTGCCTTTCAAAGTTTAGCATTCAATTGGTTTTTCTCAGTCTAATCACCATTTCTTAGCCTGTCAAGATGTTCTGGAGCAACAGCTGCAAGAGCAACACACACACAAAAAATTCCTCTTGACAATTAACTGATTGGGCTGAAATTAATCTGATTTTTTTCATAATTATAAATTGATTTTGTCATAATATGCAAGAATATACAAGATTTAGTTGAAGCATTTTAATTAAGTATTTTGAGCCTTCACAGCCTTTCACTGGAAGGCAATCTTTTCCTAGTTTGGCATTTCAGTGACATTTGTCCCCAGGTTGAATTCACAAGCTAAAAATCAAGATCACTGCCAGCCTATTAGCATGCTAGAGAGGAATGAAATAGTCAGTCAGTTGGCTAAAAGAGAGGGTCTTCTGAAATTACCTTTAAACTCTCAACAAACGTGTCTGTATCTGTGTCTCCTGTGTCTGTGTATTAGTGTGAGTGTGTGGGGGCGTGTGTGTGCGAGAGAAAGAGGGGAGAGGACGGCTGCATTAACAAAAAATGTAGACTTTCAAGCTTGCTGAGATAGTTGAGAGTATTTATTTTATTGGATGTTTTTCCCTTAAGGAGTTTGACGCCTCCAGATTTTCTGAACCATCATCTGTCACAGATAAAAATGTTCGGAACAAGGGCTAAACTCTTCAGCATGCCTTCAGGAGTTGCCATCTAGCTCAGTACTAATCTGTTAATCACCATAGTGTGGGAAAAATGCACTTAGCTGCTCAATGATCCAACCCATATTTTTGTTGTATCTGCAAAGATACTGTGAAAAACTCAGACAATACCTTGCAGATATCAACTTACACTCATGATATTCATCGAATCTAGTATTTAGTGGTTTAATCAACTGGGGAAAAATAAACATTTTTTTGTTTGTTGTTTTGTTTTATAGTAAACCTGGGCTGTCCATTAGTGTTCACCATTCTGGTCTAAGAAATTCCAAGTAGTCTTTGAAATATATTGATTGATCATAAAGAAACATTCAGTGGGCTATTAAAAATTTGGAAAAGGAGTCTAGACTCTCAACTGCCTTAAAATATTGAGCTGAAACCAAAATGAAGACAAATGCGTTGATATTTTCTTCATGCTTCTATCATGCCACTTTCTGTCAATAAATGAAACTTAAACTAGGAAAAGAATTGCATGTTTTCAATCTTCTGGAACCATCTCATTTGAAGTTTCTCAGGGTTACTGATAATAGTGGAACGCATATGTTTATGGTTTTTCAATATTTTAGAAACTAATTCAGTTGGGCCTAATTATTTGAACCTATTTACAAGTCAGATGTTTGCTTTGTCTACTTTTATATAATGATTCAATTTCCTTTTAAAAAGTAGTTTTATTATCAAAGAGATATGAGCTCATTTCTTCAAAAATAAAGTCCACTGAAATACATGCGAATATACATATAACAACAAGTAAAAGCCTTCTACTTTACCTCCTTTCCTCTCAGAAGCAATTATTACAAAATATGTTGATCCAGGAGATAATATGTAATTTAAAAGAATTTATTATGGTGTGACAAGTACTAGAGAATTGCTGATAAGTGTTTTTTTTCTCCCTGAGTACAATGCTGAGACTTTGGGTCAGAAAGTATAAAATATAATTTCAAAGGTTTAATCTCTATAACTTAGAGTTAAATGAGTGATTTTTTAAATCATATAGCTACTTCTGACGTAAGGGATCTTCTGAAGGCTATATAAAAATCATTTCATTAATCAAAACTCCATTATTAATATCAATAAGTGAAAAATGGTATAAGTTATGTACTTTGCAAATGAAAGAAGACAATAGAGTAGCTGAAGGGTTATGTAAATGTATACTTAAATAAACTACACTTGAATTTATCTCACAAAAAGAAAACTGCCCACCGGAAGAGATCAGTGAGGTTAAGACCTATCTGCTGAAAAGCATAAAGTCAAGTGAAGTCATGAGTAATGTTACTCAAGGGGCATTTTTCTAATCCCTCATATGACTGCAAACAGCAGGAGTCAGACATAAAGTTTGTTCCAGGACAAGTGCTAACAATTAATCCTTTGCCAGCATGTCCTTAATTTGGATTTAAACCAATTCAATTAAAATTTTAGTAATTTAAGTAAGACTTAGTTGGTAAAGATAATGTTTTCTCCTCATTTAAAAACTGTTTAATTTTAAATTGATAGCATTATGCCTGGAGCACAACAGAGTTTGGGACACATTTAAAGAGGTCACCATTTGCAAAATGATCCTGGCATTAGTGAAGAAAGAGATGAAACTGCAGTGATCACCACTGTTTATCAGATTTAAAGGTAATGAAATACAAAGACACCCTTCTGGCAGGAAGTAAGGTAAGTGACAATCATTTGAAGAATTTAGTAATGTTTGTTATTCAATGTGAATAAAACTAAGTTCACTCATCATTCCCTTTATATTTATTTACAGTCTTTGTTTATTCTAGCAACAAGTATTTATTGAGCATCTACTATGTACTAGGTACTATTCCAGGCATTGAAAATACATTAGTAAACAACACAGACAAAATCAAAGTTCTTGATGAGCTTATCCATTATACTGGGGAAGACTGACCTAAATACATATAAAATAATTTCAGCTAGTGGCAAACACTGTAAGAAAAACTAAAGTGGGGTAAGAGATTAGAAAATTATGGGTTAGGGATATATGAATATAAGAGTTTGGGAAAATTTCAGACTCTGAAGCCTCTATAACTAAACATGTAGCTGACGAAAATATCTCTTGCTGAAAAGGAATTCACATTTTGTTCTCAACATAATTCCCATTCACTTAACCATCCCTGTACTCCAAATTCCCTTTTGCAGGTCATTTTTTTTCCACTTAAGTTTTCCTTCTACATGTACAACCATTGCCTTGGTATACTTTTTCATTAAGAATTTTTCTAAAATCATACTTCCAGTAATATATTTAGGAAATTTGAGACCTTTGGATCCTGCACTTATGAAATAAAAATAGTTGATAGTTTGGCTATCTTAAATGATCAATGACATTTATTTACACAAAATCATCATTAAATGGAAAACAACTACAACAAATACGTAATGGTAAAGAAATAAAGATAAAATTCATCTACATGGAAATTTGTCATTGATTAGAGAGTAACTAGCAAATGCTAAATATTGGTTTTGGTGTACACATGTCAATGTGTACCTATGGAGGGTAAGGGTAATAAGGGAACGGAAACAGACTTAAATCCAAGGAAAGATTTTAATTTAAAACAAATAGAGTTGGACTGCTACCACAAATCGCACATGGGGATGTATTTATATATTATGTATTTCCTAAAGTCCACTGCTTCAGAAGTCAGATTACTGTAAATAAGAAGGTAAGCAACTATGTCTTGTTTTAAAATATTAACATATATGGTTACGACATTTATTTTAAAAAGTGTTATGATAGCATAATATTTCAAGAAAACCTTTTATAAAAATTAGAAGTTTAAAAGAATACAGAATGTGAAGGCATAAAAAGTTGTATTAAATGTTTTTTAGAAAGTATCAAACTTCTGTATTAACATAGTAACTTGAACTTTAATTGACTAAATAAGATATAGAAATAAAAAAAAATATATCTTTTTACACAAAATACTAATTAAAAGCAAAGTTTTGGATCCAGACAGCTTAAGTTCACATTTCAGCTCCATCATTCTCTACTTGTATAATTTTGGGCAATTTACTTAATTTGGTGGCTCAGTTTCCTTATCTCTAAAATGAGGATAATAGCACCTACCTCTAGTGGTTGTTTTTAGGATGAGATAACAGTCTAGAGAAGTATCAGACATTAAGCACCCCATCAAAGTTACCTATTAAATCTTAACTGTTTTCCCTTTAAATGTAAAGACACTTACTTTTAGAAAAACGTGGAGATCTTGAGTCTGGGTGTGCTGTAGAATGTCTTGTTGGAGGTGTTTGAATATAGCTATACAGATATATACTTGATAATCGGGACCAAGGAAAACACAAGTAGCAATATAATGGCAGATTTCTATCCAATCTAAGTAATTCCAAAAACACTGAGTTATCCATTGCAGACAAATCTAGGAAAATAAATAATCAGTTCATTAGAGTTTATGATGTTCAAAAAGCAGTAACTAATAATTCACACAAAACCAATGAACAGCTTAGCATTTAGTCAAAAAAAAAAAAGAAACATCCTGCACCTAAGCCTAACAAGGATGCTTCACCTATTTGCGTAATGCATGAGAAAACTTTCATGGCCTTCGGCCTCAGGACTTGGGGTCACCTGATGGTGCCCACACTGCTCAGATGTCTATTGCTAAATGCCTTCTTTTCTCATATTGTCTTCGCTTCGATAATACCAGTCTGCTCTCTACAGATACTAACAGAAATGGAAGTTTTTTCTATCCTACCTATAATCACAGATGTATAATTATGCAGATGACAGATTGCTAAATGTTACATTAATGCAAATGGACTCTTGATGAATCAGAAAACAATTTAAACTGAACTGAATTATATAACATAAAAACTGAGAGCTAATGTACAGAATATTTTAAAATGAGACTTTAAAAAATCATTTATCTTACTTTTTGAATAACATTTGTTCAGATTATAAAAGAGATAGATGTCCATTGTGGAAAAACAGTAAAGTTTAAGAAAAACTAACAATCACACAGAGATTAACATTGTTAAAATTTTGGTACATTAATGTTATGAATGGAATTGTGTATTCCTGCAAAAAGTATGTCAAAGCCCTAAACCCAGTATTTGTGAATGTGACATATTATTTGGAAACAGAGTCTTTACAGAAGTAATCAAGTTAAAATGAGGAAAGTGAACCCTATTCCACTATGACTGGCATCCATATAAGAAAAGGAAATTTGGACAAAGAGACAGGCACATACAAAGGGAAGATGTTGGAAAGTCACACACAGAAAATGTCATACATGAAAAAAATGACTGATGTATCTACAAGCCAAAAAATATCTAAGGCTATTAGAAGCAAGGAAAGGAACACCAAACTTTACCACTGGTGTGTTCAGAGGGAACATAGCCTTGCCAACACTTTGATTTTGATTTCTGGCTTCCAGAACTGTGAGACAATAAATTTCTGTTGTTTTAAGCAGCCTACATTATAACACTTTGATACGGCAGTCTTTGGAAATCAAGACAATTAACTTCTTTCTAGTAGTTCAGTTTTCATTAATGATCAACAAATTACCACTGAGGAAAGATTTCTTTTACTGAACCTATCTTCTCCTATAGTTTAATGTCTCAGGAGGGTGGGAACAGATATGGTAGCTTATGTCAATTTATGAAAAATACAAAAGATACAGAGACACAAATTTTATTTTGTTCTATCATTTTGTTCTTTTAAACATATATACTTGAGTAGTTTCAAAAATTTGTTTTTATGCCCCGATTCAAGTTTTTGAGATTGTTAAGCCTGCTTTTAACTTGCCTTTAATACAGCATATTAGTTTACTAGGGCTTCTATACCAAAATACTGGATACTGGGCAACTTAAACAACAGGAATTTATCTTCCCACAATTCTGGAGAAGTCCAAAATCAAGGTGTTGTCAGGGTTGGTTTCTTCTGAGGCCTATCTCTGTGGCTTGTAGATGGCAGCTTTCTTTCATATTTTCACATGGTCTTTCCTCTGTAAATGTCTGTGTCCAAGTTTGCTATTCTTATAAGGACATCATTCATACTGGATTAGGGCACACCCTAATGACCTGATTTTAACATAATTTCCACCTTTAAAGACCTCATTTCTAAGTACTCATGTGCTGAGGCACGAGGGGTTAGAACTTCAACAGATGAATTTGGAGGGACACAATTCAGCCCATACTAGATGGTATCAATGAATTTTTGTTTTTCATACATTATTACTGTGGTCAGCTATTAACCTTTATACATCAGCCATTATGGGCATATCTTTTCATTTCCTGATGATATTTCCTATTTTGTTATTGATCATGTCAACACTATATGACCAAATATTTTCTCTTGTTTTTTATTGTAATTCTGTTCTCAGGTGTAAAATTTTCCTTTACAAATATTAAGTTCTTTTCTATTATGCTTCAAAATATTTTTATAGCGCTTATGAGTTAACTCAATGTTGAATTAGAATATATCTATAAATGTATACTATTTGTCAACACTGCCTGTTGGGGCAGGATATATTTATTTTCCTTTGTTGCCAAATTTACTGTTTACTTGACATTGATAGGATTCTTTTCCAGACCTCCACCTGGAGGGTCAGCTGGCATGCACAGTTCATTACCAAATTTCTGTTGCCCACTAAATATCCACAAAATGTGGCTCTGCTAGAAAGGGGAGAAAAAAATACCTCCTGCCCCTATTGACTAGACAGGTTGGAGCATTCAGTGGTTCTCTAACTGAAAGCAATACTTTTCGTTCCTTTACAGCACTGCCGCCAGGGTCCTCTCTGTCTCTGTTCTTTGCTGCAGCTACTAATGCCAATCAACTTATGACCAGGTTGTGTTCATGAAAATGAGAATCTCTGGAAGAATGAAGGAGAAACACCAGAAGAGTAGAAATTAATACTAATAATCTCTACAGCCAGACAGAGCAGTTCCCACTCAGTTGTGAGTTTCAGGGATGACTAGAAAGTAAACAAAGATGAAAGAGGTCACAGGTTCTGTCCAGCTTCTTTCTAGTTGGTCTTAACTTTTCTACAAGTTGAATGATGTGAAACTGCTGCTAATCGATTCATTTTAACTTTTAAACGTACCAGCTTTATTTGTTGCAACAAATATATCTGAAGTTACAATGTATGTAGAAAGATAGTTATCTATCTACCTTTAAGTTGATTGGTTAAAAGAAAGTCACCCCAGAATCTGCAATTAGTTCTTTATTATACAATTTCTAATGCTGTTGCAATTTTCTGACATTTATGTAAACTCAAACATTGTTTTCTTTCATTTAATGGAAATGTAATACCTGTCTTTTCTACATATGTGAAATTTAGGAGAGGAAAATGAGAAATAACTCACAGCACTTTGAAAATATATATGCTATGTTTATGTTATTCTATAACAAAGATACAGATGTCTAATATTCAATTAAAAATATTTATCGAGTACCTAATATACAAGGTTATGATTTTAAGTGAACAAAAGACATTTAGTCTCTGCTCTCTCTCTCTCTCTTTTTTTTTTTTGTTCAAATACATTTGTCTCCACCTTCCGTGTGTCCCTGTTCTCATGGGCCTTTTTTTAATTTAAAAAGAAAGAGTATATATTTGAATATCTATTTCCTTTCCAATCTCAGCTACTCTTAAAAGAAACTCTAATCAACAAATATGTATTTCTAACTATTCTTTTTGTATTCTAGTTGAGATTATTATTTTTACTGTAGAGAGCTGCATATTTTATTTAGCAAACTACCCACAAATCATTCATTAATTTACCAATCTCAATTCCTTCGTATCTATAAATTAACAACTTCAAAAAGCACTGCTTCTAATTAGGTCAAAATGAATATGCTTTGAAATACAAAATTTGTATCCTAATTACTTAACTACACATACCCATCTAGTTAATTAAAAGTAGTTTACATGTTTTATAATAAGCAGTAAAATGGCAAATAACATCAACAAAGCAACGATACATACTTTAGACAAAAAATGATTAGTTCAAAAAAGCCATTAAAGAGGCATTTTTACATTAGATAATTTAAGAAACACAATATTACAACAGAAAAATAAAGTAGTAGTTTTTATTAGATAAATCTGCTTGCTACATGTAAGGAGTTTCAAACTGATAAAAATAACACTGAATTGATAAAGACATGTCAAGTTGATAAAGAGATGCCAAAATGATAGATACAAAATTGAAACAGTGGGGCCTGATGTATTGCAAGTTTTTCTCAGTCTTGGGTAGTCCATCTGGAAATTAAAGGTTATATGTCAAGAACTAATAAATGATTGGAAGTATTAGACAATACACATTGTATCAATCATGTCTAGAATGGCAAAAAGGAACTCTCAGGAACATATTGCTCCTTGACTTGGATTTTTAGAAGAATGGATTATTGAGCTTATATTAAATGTTTAAGAAACTACTTCCAACCAAAGTTAAACATTTTTTTCTTCAAAATTCCCAGGAGTGTTTTAGGTGTATACATAGTAAGAGCTACAATGGGCTGAGAAAGAATATTCCTTTCCACTACATGCAATTCCTTGCTATATTTAGACTTCTTATTAATTTCAGGAAATTTAAAACTCAACTGGTGTAGTAACCTGATAAAAGTAAATGTAACAAATGACATAAGGGCTCCTCAAAGTAAGTATAAAAGCACGTCATAATATTAAAAAGAATTACTGTCTAATTAAAAGGAAAAGGTTTCAGGGAGGACAAATCCAAAGGAATGAAGGATAGTTTACTATTAAGAAATCTATCAAGTATGTCACATAAACAGGTCAAATAAGCTCCAAGATGAAGATAATCTTAACCATAAAACATCTGTGGCTACTGCCATGTGACCACATGCATGATTCCAGGCCCTAGAAAAATCATTAAAACTTCTTAGATCCCAACAACAGAAACAAGGCTCTGGGCTTTCTTGTTAGGTAAGATACAGTATCACTACTTGTTAATGATGACCAGCCATTCTGATAGGTGTGAAGTGGTACCTCATTGTGGTTTTAATTTGCATCTCTGATGGTTAGTGATGCTGAGCATTGTTTCATATGTCTATTTGCCCATACTTAACAAATCAACAAACAGCAAGTGCTGGAGAGGATGTGGAGAAAAGGGAACCCTAGTGCACTGTTGGTGGGAATACAGACAGACTGGTGCGGCCACTGTGAAAAACAGTATGGAATTTCCTCAAAAAACTAAAAATGGAACTGCCTTTTGATCTGGTGATTCCACTGCTGGGATTATACCCTACGAATCCTGAATCACCAATTCAAAAGAACCTATGCACCCTAATGTTCATAGCAGCATTATTTACAATAGCCAAGTGCTGGCAACAGCCTGAGTGCCCATCAGTAAATGAGCGGATCAAAAAACTGTGGTACATTTACACAATGGAACACTATGCAGTAGAAAGCAAGAAAGAGCTCCTACCCTCATGACAGCATGGATGGAACTGGAGAGCATTATGCTAAGTGAAATAAGCCAGGCGATGAAAGACAAACACCATATGATCTCCCCTGTAAGAGTAACTTAATGAACAAAACAAACAAGCAAGCAAAACAGAACCAGAGACATGGAAATAAAGAACAAACTGACAGACACCAGAGGGGAGGAGGGAGAGGTAAAATGGGGGCAAGCAGGGGAAGGGTCTAGTCAAGGAGCAAGTCCGTATAAAGGACCCGTGGTAATGGACAGACAGGGTAGGACTGACTGAGGGAGGGGGTGGGTGGGCAGGGCAGGGGAGAGCAACTGAGGGAGGGGGAACTGGGACAACTGTAATTGAGCAACAATAAAACAATAAAATGTACAGTATCTCACATACCAGATACTCAGTGCTGGTAAGAATTACTGCCCTCACATTACTTAATCCTTACATTAGCCTTCTGAAGCATATATCATCTTCATTAAAAAGCCGATATGTCATAGACTTTCAGAATATTTATACCTTTAAATAGCTGAATTTGAACTCGAATTCTGTGAGTGCCAGATATCTACTACAAAGTAAAGCTATATATTATAATAAACCCAAGAAGAAGAAACCAGTTTAGGTATTTAAACCCAAAGGAATACTTACAAAAATGATTTTATTAATTTAAATGTATTTCTTATATCTGATGAGAATATAATTTTCTTTAAAGACACTGCAATCTGGGAGTTGAAGAAATGTTACTCCCTTATGGATTACCTGCGATGGTGCGAAACCAGACATGTGAAAAGCTGAAAACACAAGCGGCACCTCCGCCTTCAGGAGCATTTCAATGTAGTGAGTGCTGCAAAAATACACTGGGTGGATGCCCGAGTCTCTAGTGTCAACAGGTAGGTACTTCTGCATAAAAGAGAGAAACTGAGAATTAATGAATAGGCAGCTAATTTAAAATCATCAAGCATCTAAATCTTTTGCTTTGAATTGCTACTTCAAAATTAATGTGGTCTCATAACAAGTTATGTAAATGTTATAGTTACATAAATTCAAAAGTCAGATGTTAAACACTGTGGAAAATATAAATCTCAATAAAGGCAATATAATATACCTTCCAAGACACAGGAATGAAGTTGATGTTTTGCGATTTTGGCAACTTCAAGCCCTTGTGGAATGATGGGGATGGGAGTTGTACAAAAAAATAAATATATTAGTGAGTGCATTTGTAATAAATGCTTTGCTGTTTAATACTATGTGTATTTCAATATACTTATCCTTGGCTTTGGCCAATGATTCCATAATGTTACAAAGTTTTAATTTGTCAGTTTTTAGAGATATTTTCCTGTGCCCCTTTTTTCTAACTTAATGTTAACCCAAATATAAATCTGTGTTACTAATAACTGAAATTGAGTATGCCGTAAGAAATACATCTCTAAAACTGGGTAAAATTTACATAATGCATTTATGTATTATGAAAATAAAGTGTTATTTATGTATTATGTAACATTTATGTATTATGTAATAAAGTGTTCAGGCCAATACATACATAATTTATATATATAATTATATGTAAATAATTATATGTAAATAAATAAGTATATTTATATATAAGAATATAAAAATAAATCTATATGAAATTTATACTTATATTTTATATGTATTTATATGTTCACATTCTATATATGTATGGATATATAAAAACAAATATTTACAAACTAGTGTTTCTCAGTAATTTCTTCAAAAATTGTTTTATTTAATTTACCTCTTAGATACAATTATCATAAATGTTCTATAATGTTTTAATGAGTGTTACTATAGATCTAACATTTAACCACAATAATTTGAACAAAGAGTAAACTTCAAGATATAAGTTTATGCCAAGAGACACTCTTATTAGACTAGCAATTATATCCTATAGACTTATAATAAAAATACTCAAATTAGATCTAAAGAATACATAATTAAGAAAGTTTCAGAAAGGCATTTTATGTTCCTGCCTTTACTGGGCAATTCTTACTTTTAAACCTTTTTATAAAAGAAAGTTAATAATTTTAAATTAAAATAAAACGCATATAAAACAATTACATAATAGTTAAAATAAGAAGAATTTCTTTCCAACTTTATTGCTACGTTGCTTTTATGGATTTAGGTTTGAGTTATATATTAAAATTTCTGAAATCATTGGATTAATTTATTAATTTATCATTCATCATAATAAATGATGATTTACCATTTTGCATGCAGAATTATATATTTGTAGAAAATAGATGTTGTAGAAAACTGTATTTTATGACATGTTCTCAGGAAGATACCTCACGATATACACAAAAAACACTAATTTTCTATAGTGATGAAAGACATATTGGACATCTTATAGTCAATTGCAGATGGCTATCTAGGACAAAATATAACCTTTCTATTGAATAAATAAAAATAATCATATAAACTGCCTGACGATTAGTATCCTTTAGCTTCCTTGTATTTTGTGAAATGCACCATGTGTTCTACTAGTGAGTACTTGCAAAGTAAAATTAATGAATCTAATAAACATATATAAAAGCAAGTCAACATACATACATAATATTTTAATTTTCAATACAAACTTAGGTAACACTTTTCTGAATATATGTATAATAATAGTGTAAGAATTATATATATAAGAAATAATTCTTATACAATATCTATGTAGCACTGAAAACAACTTAGAGTCGGTCTCTTAAGAGATGGTGGTAATAGAATAAATTACATTCTCAAAGAAAACAAGCCATATTATGTAATGAATTCCCAAAGATAAGGAAAGAGTTCTTCTATTATTATAGATTATACTGTTGGAAGAAATTATACCATACTTTCTGATAACCAAAACAAGCTCCTAGCACCAAACCATGGATAGAGTAGTTACTCAGCAAATTATTGACCGAATGACAGAAAGAAAAGGTGCTAATGATTACGCGCAGTACTCACAGTAAATTCACTTATAATAATTTTATTAATTGGTCTATTAATTACCATTTCATAACTCTAATTTATACTAAATTGTGTTCTTAAAGCCAGGTCAATGACAGCTGTAAGCCACACAAATACGACAAAGAGTATTCTGACTCTTCAAATTATGTTTGTTGAACTTTTAGGGTTTTGATGTATTTTGCTTAGTCACAATACTCTAAAAAAATGATAATTCTTATTAAAGGTAACTCTAAATAAAATCCAGAATATGCCTTGACTGGTGTGGCTCAGTGGGTTGGGCACATCCCACAAACCCAAGGGCCATGCTTTAGTTCCCAGTTGGGGCACATGCTGGTTGCGGGCCAGGTCCCCAGTTGGAGATGTGAAAGAGGCAACAAATCGATGTTTCTCTCACACATCAATGTTTCTTTCTCTTTCTCCCTCTCTTTCCCTCTCTCTAAAATAAATAAATAAATATTAATTAATTAATTTTAAAAAGTAGGTGAGTAGATAGATAGAAATCCAGAGTACAGGATTAAGTGGAACACATTTAGGATAACAATAGCATTTACTATACCATCTAGGTAACATATAAACTGATATATAAACTATGCTAAATTTGCAAAAAATATTATCAGTAAAATTTTTTGGCTTGGAATATACTACAAATTAGCATAATATGACACGAGGACTTTATAAAATAATGAACACTCAGAGTATTTTACTTTTGTGACTAAAAATAAAAGATATGTGCTTTTTTGAAATGAAAAATAATAAGCAGTTTCTTTGATTTTTTTCCTTCCACTATAGGTCATTCTGATGAGTCATTTTATTCCTGACACTAAGAAAAATCTAGTTCTGTGTGGCTACGGAAATTAAACAAAAAGGACCTATTAGAAAGACAAATGCTCCAAACCAGTCCAAACTGATCCAAATCCAGCCCCAATGCTCCACTCTGGGAATCTGTGGCAGACAGCTGGCCACACTTAATCAGTGATACTGCAGTGATCTGTGCAGCATGTGCAACATCATGCAGAATTATGAAGAGAAAATGTTGAAGATAGTTTTTAAAAATGTGATTCTATAACTCTATAAAACATAAATCTCCTCTCAGATAAAATAAAATACATGAGAAAAATGGAATCTTCAGATGCAAATACGATTTAAAGTCACACGTAAGAAAGGGAAGAGGTTTCGACTCTAGTCTTTCCTACACGTGACTGGTCACATGACTTGCTATTGCTAATGCCCTGCAAGTGGGTCACAAGTGTGTCATGACAGGTCGGTGGTTGTAAAATTTAAATCTAAATGTATAGGTGGCAATTGCAACACAACTTTGGAAAGCATAAAGACTTTGCAGGCCTGAAAAAGCTGAATCTTAACAGCAGAGAAAGCTGAGAACCAACCAAATTTATCCTGAAGAATCCTCAGGAATCTCTGGAAGTGGGAAAAAAGAGGAAAGGGCTAACATGAGAAGGACTGGATGGACCTTTAAGCATCTGACCTCTCCTGGTACCTGGGAAGGAGTTTAAAATTTTATTTTCTGGAGTCGATAAAACAGAGGGTCTGGCTTTCTGGCTGAAGGGACATCAAGATATCATTAAGACCAGTGGTACAATATCAAATGCAGAGGAAATTTACAAAAAAAATTTAAAAAATATATAAATGTGTATGTGAATTCTATTAGAATTTTGAACTCTAACTTTCCTGTGTTGGGTAATTATTATTTTGTGAGGAATAAGAGAGAACTGTGTGTGATTTTTTATCAATGGAGTTTTGTGTCAATGTGAATACAAAATACTTCAGTTTTTAATCTCAAGTTAAATTGTTCTACTTTTTCATCTTTTTTCCTAACATAGAAAGCATATATGATTTTTACTTTTGTTATAATTATTATTTGAGATTAGGCATTCCTATAGAAAAAGCTTATTTCTTTCTATATCTTAATCTCATTTTATTAGCTGCTTTGGTGTTAATAATTAGCCAAACTCTGATTCTTGATGAAATTTCATAAGGAATAGTTTTTGAGCCCTGACCAGTGTGGCTCAGTTGGATGTGCATTGCCCTGTGAAGTGAAAGGTCACTGGTTCAATTCCAGGTTAGGGCACATGTATCCAGTGCAGGTTCAGTCCCTGGTTGGGCCATGTTCAAGAAGCAATGAATCAATGTTACTCCCTCACATTGATGTTTCTCCCCCTCTCTTTCTCACTCCCTTCGTCCTCTCTCTAAAAATAAATAAGTAAAATCTTAAAAAAAAGAATGATTTTTATAAACTTCAAATTGATATTTTATTATTTCCTATACCGCTTATTGTAGGCCAAGTTTCTAAGCTTTTTTTGATACAATATGCTTACAACATTCTTAAGAATGCAAAGGATCCAATATCTTTTAAATACATTTCTCAACTAACATAGGCCTAATGTCCTTTACATATTTCCAGTTAAATATTAACTCCCACATTCAACACATATTTATTAATTAATATGGGCCACAGTTTGGGACACATCAGTAAACAAAAGAGAAAACCTTGCCCTCATAGAACTTAATTTATGTATTTATTATTAACTCAAGTGTATTAATAATATATAAATACATAAATTAAGCAACATCAGAAATTGATGTAGGCTATGAGACAAAAGGACAAAACAGCACAGGATAATGAGGTTGGGGAATATGAGACTGGGGAAACAGGTTGAAGCTTTTGTGAGATTGATTACAATAATGTGAGATGGAGCTACAGTAGGTAGACAAGTTTGTGCTACTAATAGCTAAAGTTAAAGTGTCTCACCACACTGCAGATTTGCTTATTTTATAAACCTGCATAAAAACATCAGTGCAGGAAGACTTTCAGTCAAGGTGATAGCTTTGGTAAACATGCTTACCTCCTTGCATAACCACATCAAAATTACAACTAAAGTACAGAACAAACATCACCTAGAACCATCAGACCAAGTTGAATGGAAGTTTGTCAACTACAGAATTAAAGAAACCGCATCCATCCGGACCGTTGCGGGGAGTGGAGATGTGGAACAGATTAGCCCCACATGCATGTGTAGTGGATAAAAATTCAGGATGGCTATCTTGGGGCAAAGAGTCCCAGCCCCACAGCCCAGGGTTTTAGTGCCAGGAAGGTAAGTCCCCATAACATCTGGATGCAAAAACCAGTGGGGACTGAGTTGGTGGAAGAAATTTCTGGAGTCCCAAACAGTTCCTTTTGAAGAACCCACACACAGACTTACTCAGACTCACTTCTCCTGAGCCCCAGCACAGGGGTAGCAACTTGAAAGGCACCCATGCATAAGCACGGGTTCCCAGTCCCTGGACTGTGTACCAGTAGCAGTCCATGGCCTGTCAGGAACTGGGCCACAAGCAAAGCCCGCCTGCCTCGCCCCCATCCACAGAGTCCACAGTGGGGTAGAGTAGTTCACTGAGCTCTACCTCCGGCCACCCCCCGACCATCCGCAGTGAAACAAGCAAAGCTCACCTAACCTAAGCTCCTCTTCCTGTCCCATCCCCTACCCCCCAACCAAACCGGTCTGTGGTGCCAAAAACATTGAGGACCACTGGCACACAGGGAGGAACTCAAGTTTCTGACATCAGGGTGAGAACTGGGGGACAGCATTCTCCCAGCTAGGAAGGGAGGCAAAAGCCATTGTCTTTCTTCTGAACCCTCCCCCAACAGAGCCACACATCTAGCAGGTGGGTGCCATAAATGAGACTCCATCCATCTGGCTAACACTGTTTGCCCCACCCTGGAGATCCTGAGACTTGGTCACACCAAAGTAACAGGGCCACCCAAGCTGTTAACAGACTTTTCCAAATGATTGGCTGGTCTTGGCTCATGTCTGACAACTTCCTAAGTCCTCTCAAAGAAGCAACAGCCACCATCAGTGAGCGCCAGCTCCCTCACCTCTTGCTCAGTGGCCTGAGGCCTGGCACAATAGAAGCCACCCTAAATTCACAGTTTGGCTTCACCTGGGAACCTCCAAGCCCAGTACAAGTAGCAGCCATCTCAGAGTGCTTTACAGCTCAGGCAGCGTGGCCCTGGACAGAACACAGGTGGGGGCTGACCTTGCCTGCACCACCCAGGAACTCCAGGGCCAGTGCACCCAGTAGATAAAAACAGACCATGTCAGAGCACCACCACCCTGCCCCTGAATCTGATCCTCCATGGAGAGTGAAGATTGGTGGTCAGCGGTCACAGCCAGTCCTTGCAGCTGACTGGCCTGGGTAAATCCCTCCCATTGACCTGCCAACAGCTATCAAGGTTTAAATATAAGAGGAGGGTGTACTCAGCCCACACAGAAGGTGTACCTTGAGTACCCAGCTTAGATAGTAGAGGAGTTTGTGCCACTGGACCCTATAGACACTTACTATAATAGGCCATGCTTCCAAGACAGGGAATCATAGCAGCTCTACCTAATACACAGAAACAAACACAGGGAGGCTGCCAAAGTGAACAAAGAACATGGTCCAAATGAGGGAACAGATCAAAACTTCAGAAAAAGAACTAAACAAAGTGGAGATAACCAATCTATCAGGTGCAGAATTCACAACACTGGTTATAAGGATGCTCAAGGAGCTTAGTGAGGACCTCAGCAGCATAAAAAAAAATTCCTGTCAAAAAATGAAGGATACACTAACTGCAATAAAGAACAATTTACAGGGAAACAACAGTAGAGTGGATGAAGCCAAGAGTCAAATCAATGATTTGGCACATAAGGAAGCAAAAAAAAAACAACCCATCAGTACAAGAAGAAAAAAGAATCTCAAAAATGAAGATTGTATAAGCAGCTGCTGGGAAAACTTCAAGCATTCCACATTCACATCATAAGGGTGCCAGAAAGAGAAGAGAAAGACCAAGAAATTGGAAATCTACTTGAAAAAATAATGAAAGTAAACTTCCCTAATTTGGTGAAGGAAATAGACATGCAAGTCCAGGAAGCACAGAGAATCCCAAACAAGATGGATGCCAAAGGGCCCACTACAAAGCCACATTATAATTAAAATGTTCAAAGTTAAAGATAAAGAATCTTAAAAGCAGCAAGAGAAAAGAAGTTAGTTACCTACAGGGCAGTTCCCATAAAACTGTCAGCTGATTTCTCAAAAGAAACTTGGCAGACTAGAGGGGATTGGCAAGAAATATTCAAAGTCATGAAAAGCAGGGACCTACAGCCAAGATTGCTCTACCCAGCAAAGCTATCATTTACAATCAAAGGGCAGGTAAAGAGCTTCTTAGACAAGAAAAAAACTAAAGGAGTTTATCATCACCAAACCATTATTATATGAAATGTTAAAAGGACTTATTTAAGAAAGAGATCAAAACTATGAACAGTAAAATGGCAATTAATACATATCTATCAAAAATTTAATCTAAAAAACAAATTAAGCAAACAAGAAGAACAGACAGAACTATGGATACAGACAGCATTTTGATGGTTGCCAGATGGGAGGGGGGTGAGAGGCAATGGGTGAAGAGATGAGGGGATTAAGAAGGGCAAATATGTAATTACAAAATAGCAATGGGGATGTAAAGTACAATATAGGAAATGGAGTAGCCAAAGAACTTACACACATGACCCATGGGCATGAACAATGGTGTGGGGACTGCCTGAGGGAGTGGGGAGTGTTGGGTGGAGAGGGGCAAAGGGGGAAAATTGGGACCACTGTAATAGCATAACCAATAAAATCTGAGTAAAAAACTGTTAGGACAATGTTTGAAACCAATGAATCAAATAAAAGAAAACCAACCACTTTTAAAGTAATATATTAAATCTTAATGCATTAACAAGTCATTAACATAGAAAAACCACCAATCAAAAAATTATTAAATAAACAAAACTTATACTATGGAGCGGTTAGAGTACAGGCATTTGTATCTATAGTTAGCTAATAGTTTTAGATAGAATCCTTGAAGATGAATCTTAGCAGAATGTTATTGTTTAATTGAGAAGCACTAAAACTACCGGTAATGAAATATTCAACCTTGTCTATTTGTACTTGAAAAGAAAAAAATGATACTATGGAAGGCACTGCATAAGTTTTCATTGATGTTATGGCTGCACCAGCTAAAGGGTGTCAAGGCTTTACAACAGGGTTCATTCTAACACCCAAGCTATGTGTCACTCCATTCCCCTCACAAATCTATATTCCACATTAAATGATGGCTTCAATGTAGCAAATATAATAAAATCCAAGCCTCTACAGTCATGCCTGGTTTCAGGTTTATAAGAAGATATGCTATTAGAACACATTACTGTTGTTATGTTAAAACTAAAATGTGTTATGAGAAAGTTTATAAATTCAAAGCAGAAATGTTACAAATTACGGGTAAAAAACGTTCATGGGTGATGTTTGACAGTGTCAAAATCAGAACACTAAAGTAGAATTTGTTAGTAGACTAACAAAATGTAGGTATCATTTAAGAATACTCAATATGAAAATGTGTAAATGGGCTCATAATCCATATTTATCAAAAGAATTTCCAACATCACATTTGTAAATGGAAGAGTGAAAAATATGTGAGATTTAAAATTTTTTTATGCACAATTTAAAGAATTGTTCAAATTCTTGTTATCAGAAGAAAAGTATTTTCATTAGTTGGAAAGTCTTATTCAGGAATTACACATAGCTATCTCAAGCATAAAATCACCAAATCTTAATATTTAATGTATTCTTGATGTGTTGCTTTTATTTGCTTTATAACCAAGATATATTATAAAAACATCTAATAAATGTTTTCATTTAATTTCATATGTTGATATTCTCCAGCCCCCTTAACTTATCCTTGGGTGCCACATGATTCCATTGTTCATGTGCAACATGTCATGGTAAAGGTTTGGGAAGTATTAGCATAGTTTTATATAGTACACAGTTTCCCCAAGTTGAAGATCTTAAATGACAGTAATAAGTGAAAACAAATGCAGAAATATTACTTGAGCATTGCATTTACCTATAAACTGAACCCTGAGATCTCACGGGACTAGTAAAATATTTTAAAATATACTATAATACCTTGATCAAAAGTCATGATAGATTAAAAAAATGTATATAAAATGTGTTTTTCCTCTATAGAATATGGTTACAATTTCAACTTAATACTTTCTTATACTGTAATTTTACCAAAAAAGTATTTCTAACAAAGCAACAAAAAATATTTATTTAACAGTTCTCTCTTTGCATACAGAATTTTGTAATTAATTAAATGATAAGTTTAAAATTTAATAATATATCTATTATCATTAATCTTTCATTCAGCTACCATTAGGTAAGACACCAAATGCTTGAGAAAATGTTAACTCTATATCTTCAAAGAGAATCACTCCAAAGCATTCATTTAGAAAATGAATACAAATTAGTACAGAATTCTCTATAAATGAAATAATAAGATCTCAATGAATTTAAAAAGATTTAAAAATTTAAAACACTCCTTTTAAAAAGACTAACAAGTCTTACTGAAATATGTAGTCTTGGCAACCAGAGGAAACCAGATGTCAGAAGCCTGGAGAACTGTTGAAGAAATTGGAATGTTTTCTGTTTGTCCCCCAACATTATCATGAACAAAGAAGACACAAACCAGTCGTGGCCAGCATAACTGCCCTGCAGGCAGATTGAAAAATACAGTTAAGGAACTGTTATAATATATTATCTTATAAAATTAAACATAACAACTCCATAAATAATCAGGATGTCTATGAGGAAAGATATATTAACAATAGTTCTCATTTTGTCTTTAACCAATTTACAAAATATTGATGTAAAATTAAATCTTATTAAGTAAAAAAGTTACACAGTAACTATTATAATGTACTACTTGCTTAAGTATCTAGGAGAGGCCAACAGCACTAGCAACTGGAGAAAAAACTATCTGCTTTGTCAAAACACACTTGGTGAAGTCATGAACAAAACTGTACCATCCCTTCTGTTCAGGTTATCTGCTAAATTATTAGCATAATCCAGTATTTAAAAAAATCCACACATTTGTAGATTCAATAATACAGTTTATTTTTTTCTTCAAGTCAAATTCTATTTCTGAACTATATTCAAATAAAATAATAAATAGATTTTTTTAACTCTTACTCTAGGTTTACTAAATTTAGGATAATATTTTTCTACATCAACTAATTGTATTTTAAAAACTTTCTTATATACTTCTGAAAATATATTTTAATAACTTTATTATTCAGTTCCAGATTCAATGAATAACACTGAATGTAATAATCAGTACTCAATTTAATAAAATGTACATTTAAAATACAGAATAAAATACTATAAAGATATATCATAAAAAATCAGTAATATAGGTTAAAGTATTATTTTACTATAAAAGTGTTAAGGTACCCCATCAAAAATTATCAAAAATACATGAAGGAAGTTGAACTGTGAATCCATTCAAAAAGGATATGAAGAGAAGAGTTTACATGAGCCTGCTGCTGTTTCAGGAATCCCTCGCAGTGCTTTAAAACCCAGGTAAGATCACTTTCTGCACCATCTTTTAACAGGTTGAGGAACTTGCCATACCTACATTAAAAACCCACAAAACATGCAAAATGATAAATGTCAGGTCCTTTATTGCAAACTCATTTTTAAAAATCTATCAAAATGTAGTACTCTTGAAATCTTAAGGTTTTAAGTTTTCAAATTTCTACTTTTGTCTTAACTATGCTATACAGACCTCTTAGGAAACATTAACACCCAATATATGTTACTCATAATTACGATATATTGGATAAGCAGTACTCATCTGGTAAACTGGTAACTTAAAGGAAAATAATACAGTAATGAGAGAACAAATGTAGATACTGTAGATGTAGAAGTAGAATATAAGCATTTCATCTTGAACTGAATCTACAACACTGAATATTGAGGGATAAGATTGTTAAATCTAAGAAGCACTTTTAGAGTTCATCCATTCCAATGCTTCTGAGTAGGAGGAGCACTTCCCCCAGGGACCACTTTGGAAGCTTATGGGGGCTTTTTTTATTGCCACAGTGACTGGGAGCTCCACCGGAAGTCAGTGAGTGAGGGTCAGGAGGGGGCATGGGACAGCATGAACACAATCTGCAAATGCCCTGCCCATTATTTGCACGGATTAAAAACCTACTTATAATAATCTAAAACTGACCATTTTATATAAAATTATGAATTTTTTTCCCTGTATTTTTCACACTGAATGCAACCATATGTACAATAAATTGGGAAAGATAGTACTTCGATTCACTTGAAGTCTTACCAAGCTGTGTTCACCATTTTGGAAAGTCACTTTGCCAGTGGCAACTCTCTTGCAGTATTTGAAAAACCAAAATAAAATCAGTCTCTGTTTGTAGCTGCCAGATTCGTGATGGTTTTATGTGAGCGCCAGCTATGTCTTAAACTGCAGTTTTATACACACACTTCATTACAAATCATTTTCCTTTTATTTCTTACCAATAAGACATTTTATTGAATTTAAAAAATGTGACTAGACTGCTTATATTATCTACAGATTCTATTTCACTACAGAAATAGGGCATTTAAAATAAAAAGCAGGCTGCAAAACAATCAATGTTATATGCCCTATGTTATAAAGCTGAGCAAGCTAGAATTAGTAACATTTTCATTACAAGGCTATGAATTTTTAAAAACACTCAGTATTTTTAAGATCTTTCACATGTACCTTTCTAAAACTTAATTCTGATTCCCATCCTTCAGAATGAGACTATCAATGTCCCCATTTAATAAGCAAAATTGGAGGGGGATAGTCAATGACTCAGTCTTAACTTGCAGCCTCCTTAGCTTGTCCATTTCCTTTGAAAGTTACAATTTGAACAATAAAATTCAAGCTACTATAATTGGTTTATTCATTTTAACTTCTGCACCTATTCTTAAGGTACTTTTGCACCCATCACCATAGCTTGTTAATTTAAACTAATCGTATTTTAGAAAAAGGCACAATTGTGCTACCAGTGTACTGATTTTTTAGGATGCTATTTTTGGAAAAAACCTGATAGTCATAGAGGCTTAAATACACTGGAATTAAACTCTGAAATAATAATGAATTCATAACTGATTTACCTACAGAAATCAATTAATCACATCCCAATATCTTCAAAATAAAGTTATTTTCTGAATGACAAATTATGCATTTAAATATACAAAACAGGTGGTTGTTAAATACTATTAAGCACATTATCAGGTAGATTAAAAAAATTCTTGAAATACACAAGGGAGTTATTTCCCTGTAATATACCTGACAGTCATTTTAATGCCAAGCTGTTGTACCAGTGAAAGACTTTCATTCTTCACATTTGCATCAGTAGCTAAAAACAATAGAGAACTAGATTATAGAATGTATAAAAGTCTGCATAATAATCACATTTTAATTGAAAATTGATGAAAGCAATATTTTAATGTGAATTTTGAAAACACTAATGAATCCGCTCTTTTAAGACCTGTCCGCTATATTTTCAAAATAATTAAAAGGAAACTTTTTACAACAAGAAAATAAGAAAAGCATTTTAAAAGTATATTAAATACAAAGCAACTAATCATAGTTTTAAAGCAATCTACATTTACTTGGTTCTCAGGGCACAAAAGCTATTAGCCCCAAAACATTCTAGAATATTGACTTTTGTTAAGCAATGCATATATAAGATTTTGAATTTATATATATATACACATATATATTTACTTTTTAAAGATTTAAACAAGAGACTCAGAAAGGAATAATCAATATTCTAATTTTAATGTACAACAATGGATGAGGGTGGAATAAACAAGTTCCTTCCTACAGGCAAATTCTCTGAGAAGTAGGAATTGTGATAGTCTACCAAAAATGAAGAAGGGGTTCCCTTTTCTCCACATCCTTGTCAACAGTTGTTGCTGGTTGATTTACTAATGATAGCTAAGTGAAATAATCCAGTCAGAGCAAGGAAATACCACATGATATCACTTATATGTGGAAACTAATGAATAAATTGAACTAACAAACAACATAGAAACAGACTCAGAGATAGAGAACAGACTGACAGCTGTCAAAGGGGAGTGGGTGGGGGGCTGGGTATAAAAGGTAGAGGGATTAAGCAAAAACAAAACAAAACAAAACAAAAAACCTCATAGACAACAGTATGGTGATTACCAGAGGAAAAGGGGTCGGGAGAAGTAAGAGAAGGTAAAGGGGAATAAATGATGATGGAAAAATATTTAACTTAGGGTGGTGAACACCAAATACAATATACAGATGATGTATTATAGAACTGTAACCCTAAAATCTATATAATTTTATTAATCAATATCACCAATAAATTCAATTTAAAAAAAAAAGAGAAAAAAAGCACCTGGCATGATATGACTTGCCTATTAATAAAACTATAATGACAGAACAGTATAAAGACATAAGGAAAAAAAAAAAAAAACCCTAAAGAAAGGGTTGTTCAGTACAGAGAACTACAGGAGAGGTAGAAGGTTTAGTTCTTGAGAACACTGGATGACCAAGCAAACGAAGAACACTAAAAAGAATCCCTAGATAGCACCGAAGGTCTAGCTGAAACTTTCAGTTTTTGGCTAAAGAAACAGTGGTGTGAGTACATACAAACACACAACGTTAAGGGAATTGTCCAAAATCACATATTGTCTAGTGGTAGACAGGATCAAAAGCTAAGTTTTCAGAATCTCACATCACAAGTTTTCTTTCCCTCCCATTATATACTGGTGCATCGCATACTATCAGTGTAATCTACTTAACTCATGGACTCATTCATTCCTTTTAATAAACCTTTCTGATAAAGTAAGTGTAGCACACCATGCTAGAAAAGATAAATAATACATCATGTCCTAAAAGAACTTTCTATGTAGTGTCAGAGATAAAATTGGTATATAGATAGCTCTAATTTTTGAAAGTGCTAAGAGGAATAAGAATGGTAGAGATAAAATGTTATGTGATTTCAGAAGACGGAGAGATGAGGAAGACACAGCATTTCAACTGAACCTTAAAATATGGGTAGACTTGAGATCAACAGAGATAGGGAAGAACAAATTAAACATCACTGTTATCACACATCTACCCTTTGCACCAGCAATAATTCATCTTTTAGCACTCTTAGAGTTAAGGTAACCTACTTCTTCTAGTTTACCTAGTAATTTCATGCCCGTGAATTCCTCACAGGACCAGGCAAACAACACTAGTTGGTCAACTAGCCAGAGTGATCATTTTCATAAAGAAAAAAATAGATACAAATGTGTTAATTTCTAGATAAACTATTGATACATCTGAGTTTTACTTATTTAGATCTGAACACAAAATATAGCAATATTATTACATTTTGCCTATAATGACAACACTTAAGCTATATTGCATTTAGCTTAGAATTCCTTGTTGTTTATAACCTTCACTGTGCTAACAAATGTGCCTTCTATCCTTAGGGGAGAATGATACTGGTTCTGCACTTCTAGCAACAGGTTAAGCAAGGGAGACTACTCAGTGTCTTCTCCAGATTTTTCAAACTGGGGTGAGGCAGGCATTTCTCCCCTATTAAATACAACGCTATGAGGTGCCCTAGGTCTCCTGCAGAGAAAAATAAATCCAACATACAAGGACAGGGAGAGACAGAGGAAGGAGATGGATTGCTAAGAACAGCATTACCCCATTTGTATGGACCAATGATTCTGCCTCATTTTCTCTTAGACCTCCCCAAAGAAAAGTTTGATTTAATTTTCCATCACTTGGTACAAAAAAACACATGTATCACAAATTATTCTGACTCTGACAAAATAATAGCCAATTTTCAAAACTATTAATCATCATTCATAGGCTCACCATAATTTCAAGTTTTTAATCTTATCAACAGCACTTTTTTTATTCAGTCATACTTTAAACACAGCTTTTGGTAAGACCCACTACAACCCAATCAAGTTAAATTCATTTGGGTAAGGACTAGGAAGTTCTTTTTGTTTTAGTACCTGAATCTGCTCCTGGTGATCCTATATTTTATGATTAACTATATTTTAGTTTCCCAAGTTTAAATGTCTAAAACTTTGGTGGTATAGTGTTGGTGACATTGGCTGATTTTGACAAATTTAAATAGTTTCAATAAGATAAACACTCTGACTTTATATATTCATATAGCCATGGTACAGATCTACCTCCTATCATAATGTAATATGATGATAAGATTGATATTTATCTTACTGTTGCAAAAAATGTTAAGTTAAATTAGATAACACTTAGAATACTGATACATGTAAACTGGGATTATTAAGCATGAAAATATTTATCTTCATTAATATTTGGACCTGTGTGCTTGTAATAATACTAATACTGAGAGAATGAATGAGTAGATGAATAAATAAGTGAATAAACAAACATCCATTGGACAACAACAAAATAAATTGTGTTTTATATATCCAACTAGAAGCAAGGTGGAGAAAGAAATGGTTTGGAGCTTAAAAATATTTTCTGTATATTGAAATCAACTAACAAATACATAACATAACTTCCTAATCTGTGGAGTTGCTATAAAAAGCTTAACAAAATACTACGTTGTTAAAAACAAAAGTCAACCAAACAATGACACCTGTAGTATTCTATTTACTCTCGTTACTTAACAATGCCTAATTCAATCTCAGCATTAATATTCAATCAACTATTTAAAATAACCAGTTATTTTAATTATAAATAAAATACTCTCAGAAAAAAATGAGTTGAAAAATTTTACTTAATAGTGACTGATATCACTGACTCTGGTAATGCATCCTGTTCTATTTTTGGTTTGCAGAGCTAGCACACAGAGTAGTGGTAGAACAAATTAAATCTATTCTGCCTGGCACTTGGCTAATGGTGTGGAAAAAAATAAATTTTTAGAAGAGTAAAGAATTTCTCCACTGGAAGACAAATCCATGGTTGAAGAAGCAGTGACTGCTTGACTCTCTACTGAGTCTCCTGCAGCCCTGCTGTATCTGTGGTAAAGAGAGAGAAATATCAATCACCCAAAGAAATCAACCAGTGTACTTCCTCATACCTCCTTCCTTCCCAGTCAGTATGCAGATTCTGTTGCTTCTTTTCAACATGCGGTTATATCTGTTTGTATTATTCAATTCTTACTGACATAAAATTCAATTCCTGGTAACAAAGCCCGTCTCCTAACTGGCACAGTCAGTGTTGTTTGGTAAAAAGCATTTCTCTTTCCATGTCTTTAATTATGCAATTTACCCCTATCTGCAAGAGTCTCCCCCATCCTATTCCTTCCATCTGCACCAGCGTCATTCCTCCTGCTCTATCATCACTCCCTCCTTTTACCTTCCACGATGGCCCGAGTCAACAATGATCCTTCTTTCCACTAAACACCTGCAGCATGTACAGTAAAAACCCTCATAATGTAACTAGGGTACTTAAAGGCCCTAGCAGATTGCTTGAAACAACAAAGCCAGATTTTAAAAAAAATGAGTTTTCTTTTATTTCTTTATTGGGTATTTTACTATATGCTTCAAATTACTAAATTAATCACTTTCAGTGTATGCTCTACCTTCCTTCCTTCCTTGAGGAGAGGGGCATTCCTATTATATCCCTCCTTGTGCAAATGTGCAGAACTTTCTCTGTTTGTTCTTTCCTCTTTCTTCAAGGGGATAAACAGCCAAACTAATTTGATATTTTCAGATTTTATAATGGATTGAAATCCTGAGGGAGCTAACAACAGATGGATGACTATGTTATTCTAATTTCAGCTACCTTAGGGTTTAGCAAGCTGTCATTTTAAAAAAGACAATCAATTTCTCATTTCAAGAAACATGAAAAAACATTGAATGTATCTATCCAGCATTTGCTTTAAAACATCCCTTATATCAAAACAGCTTTTGTTTATTTAAAGTAAATAAAATAAAATTTATAATAGTAAGACATTGTTCCGTTAGCCAAAAAATGATAAAGGATGAGGATATCTAAAGTCATGGGAAGAAAATGATACTACCAACAAACTTACCATATCATAATAATAAATATTAAACAGTCAATCAATAGGAAGCCACTTTGTTTTTGCTGTACTATAAAGTTTCAGTGGATAGTTGTTCGACTGGAGCCTTTAAAGAATTGTAATTCACATCCAGGTTTTATCTGCCTAGGTACTACATTCAAAAAAGACAATGTGTGAGATCTTCCTTAGCATAATTCAGAAGTACAGCAGAGGGCAGGAAATACATGCACACTGAGCAACTGGGTTGTTGAATTTTTGGATAATGTATATAATATTGTTAATTTTATTAGTTTATCTACAGAAAATATAGTCCAATAGAACAACGTGCCTAGGCTGCATTGAAAGGTGCAGAAATTAGAGATTTTTATGCTGAAGACCGGAGAGATATCCAATCTGACCATGCAAACCTCTATGATTACTACTGCTTACTGATTTCCTCTCTTACTCATAGACTTGAGCACAATTCCCTGTACATTTTCAGGTTTGTTTGTAAAGTTATAATTTTCTTCACAAATCGTTTTCTTCAAAACTGTCTTCACAATTTCTGGTTTCTCTCCTATTTACCTCAATTTCCTGATTTGAAATGTAGTGGTTATAACTACTTCAGAGAGTAATTGTAGAGTTGAATGATGTGATGCACATCAAGTGCCACAGTGCACTATTTAACTCACAAGAAGTGCTCAACAGTTATCAATTCCCTTCACTTACCTCAGCTTCTGATTAATGTACTTTTTTCTCATGTCATTGTTTTCATTTTCTTATGCTCTCTTTTATCCCTTATCCCAAATCTACATTAGATGTTACTATGTGTAAATAATTATGTATATGCTCATGTGTGTATTTGTAATTATCAATATATTTAGACTTGTTATACAAATGTATTTGTGTGAATATAGATGCTTATTTATCACTATGTATATTTAATTCAATAAAAATATATCAAAGGCTATATTAAAGACACAAAGGAGTTTGAGACATTTTGGAAAAATTTAAGCTAGTCATATATAATATAATGAATATCAAAATAGTAAAATAAATGCAATAGGAGCACAGAAGAAGGACTCTGCTTAGGTGTAGAAGGAAGATGACATTCTAGCTGCAACTTTACCGTTGGAGTGGACATTATCATATGGATGTCATGGGGAGGGAAAAGTTTATCCAGAAAGAACAGTAGGAGCAAAATGTTCAGTGACACAAATGCATAGAATGTGCTTGGGCAGTGGTGGCTAACAGGGCTAGAAAGATAGGCTGGGACAGATGGGAAGTGCATATACACACACACACACATATATATATATATATATATATATAAACTTTATCGACATATGAAATATAGTGTCTAACTTGAAAAAATAGCACATATTTGAACAATGGTTTCTTCAGCAAAGAGGTAATATCACCCTTATGAAAAAGAAACGCAATATCCCTTGAGGATTTATTGTCTTGGGTATACACTACCTCCCTGCTTTCTGCACCACCTCTTGGCTTGCCAGCGCCAAGTACTGGATATTCGCCTTTGGCAAATTTCTGTTCTGCACTTTACCTCATCTTTTACACAGTTATTAAAACAATCTCCCTAAGGTACAGATGAATCAAGTAAAGCTTCTGCTAAGAAATCTTAAATGGTTTAGTCTATTGCCTATTAAAATCAAGGTAAACTGATTGGCACAGTATATAAAGTCTCCCTCATTCATTCTTTTATCAATTCTTTCTATTATTTATGCAACATATATTGACAATGTTATTCTAGGTGCAGATGATACATACAATAGTTAAGACATAGAACTATTTTACTAGCATTTACAGTCATGTAAAAAATCAGACATTGTCAGAATATGAGAAGGATATGACAAAGAGATGCAAATTGGCTTTATATACTAAGCTGATGATTTAATAATTTGTATTTCCACCCAATACCTTTCCCCTAAATTCCATATTCAAATATGTAGCATGTACTAAGCATGTCAAGTTAAATGTGTAATAGGTATTTAAAACGTCACATTAAAAGCAAGCTCTTAAATCTCTTTTCTCAAACCTCTTCCTTTCCCATTCTTCTCCATCTGAAGGTATGATAATCCCATTCTTCCAGTGACTCAGATCAGTAACTTAATCTTCTCTGATTTCTTCTTTCCTGTCTTTCACACCCATATTCAATCTATTACCCATTTCTGCCGGTCCTATCTTCAAAATATACTCAGAGTCCAAGCACTTCTCACCACCTCCACTGATATCCTCATCCAAGCCATTGCCATTTTTCATCCAGATCTTCTCAAAAACCTTCTAACTTGTCTCCCTTGCTTTAACCTTTTTTCCTCCTTCATTCATTTTTCAATACCGCAAACAGTGCTCTTTTTAAAATGTAAATCAGAGCATGTCAATCCTATGCCCAAGACCCTGCAATAACTCTCAAAATCTTTTTGACTTCCACACAAATAATTCTGCCTCTTTATTTCTTTTCAGCAATACTATTTGTCCACATCATTTGCTGAAATTTCTTCCCTTAAGAATATCCATTTATCTTGCACCCACTTCTGCTGGTCTAAACACTATTTAATATTGTAATCCTCACCCTCAACTAGCACTCCCTAGCTCCCTTCCCTGCACTGTAATTCTCTCCTACCACTATAACATTTGATATACTGAATCTTTTACTTAATTATTGTCTATCTCCCCACCAGAAGGTGAACTCTGTGAGGGCAAAGTTTGTTTCTCTGTTTTGTTCAATGCTGTGTCTGAATGCCTAGAAGAGTCCTATTACATAATAGAGGACAATACTATTTATTGAATAAATGATTGTGTGTGTGGTGAGGGAGAGAGGAAGAAGCTGGCAGTGCTACTAACAGTTTAGTGTTCATGAAAAATAAATATGAGGCATGGCGAGAAAGGGATAAGAGAGAGGAACAAAGGGCAAGACTAATTTAAGACCTTGGGTATCATAGTAAGAGGCTTATACTTCATGCAGTGGTCAATGGTGAGCTTCTATGGGGTAAAAGAATGAGTGGATCAGATTTGGGCTTCAAAGGTCACTCTAAACGCAGAATAAAGAATGCCTTTGAGCCCTAGCTGATGTGGCTCAGTGGACTGAGCATCGGCCTGTGAAGCAAAGGGTTGCCAGTTCGATTCCCAGTGTAGGGCACATGCCTGGGTTGCAGGCCAGGCCCCCAGCAAGGGGCACATGAGATGCAACCACACACTGATGTTTTTCTCCCTCTCTTTCTCCTTCCCTTCCCCTCTCTAAGAATAAATAAATAAAATCCTGAAAAAAAAAAAAAAAAGAATGCCTTTGAAAAGAAATCAGACTCCAATTAGAGACCCGGGTAAAGAGGCTGTTGTAATATTCTAGGCAAAAAGTAATGGTGGCCTGAACTAATGTAAAGAAGAGTAGAAATCAATATAAGTAGATAAATTTGAGATACATTAAGAACACAGAATTAACGTGGTTTGGTATTTGGGAAGAAAACATGGACTTAAGTGAGTTCATCATTCCTTGGTTTTTGGCTTAGACAGCAGGCAATTGTGATGCCCACCAAAATAGACAAGGTAGGAGCAGGATGTATAACAATAAGGTATGATGAGGTGAGATTCCTGTTGGACATTTAGGGTTTGAGGGTTTCTGAAGCACATCTAGGTGATGTTTACCTATTAAGCAGTTAGAAATATGAATATAAAACTTAACAGTGTATCTTTTGAGTAGAAGATGTAAATTTAGAAATCATCAATAAATGAGATATGTAAAATAGTATGAGAAGATGAGATCACTAGGGGATAGTGGTTTAAAGGAGAAGAGTGGAAAACATTGCCTTAAAGAAAAACAATTTTTAAGGGGTAGACAAAAAAAGGGCTCAAAATGGAGTTAGAAAGTTACAAGGAAACCCAGACATTTGCAGAGAAGAGACTGAATGATATGTGGAATGCATATAGGAGACTTTTAGAATGAGAAATCTTGTGCATATTTGTAATACAATTACACATCTCTATGAAATACTATCTATTTGCACATCTCTATTAAATATTATCTATTATCTATTTTTGAAATTCAAAATGTTTAAAATGTACCTGTATATTCTACTGAGGGGAAGTAGCACTCCAATGGGCTTTCAAAGAGATGAAGCACAAAATTTTCAAGTAATTCTACTAAAGCTGTAATATACAAGAGAATAATATACAAGATATTAATTAGATATAACAAGATATTAATACTAATATACAAGAGAATAATTAGAATATTAAAGGACAAGGATCATACATGATAATGCATCTCAAATCACAGAACAGTACATAAAAATCACCAGAACTTCTTTAGTTATGCCCTTAAAGGGGTCCAGTTCAAAACACAAGCCATTTTAATATTCTTAACAATGTTTCTGATATAAATTAAATTTTAATAGCTTCACTGAGAACCTATGAATGTAGAACCAGAAAAGAATCATCTGTTATCTTTAGAGTCTCTAAGGATTACTTCAAAATTTGCTAAATGATTTCAATACAGAAAGAAAATTATCACTAATTAGACCATAATGTCTTATCATAATTATCTATACATACAGGAAAAAAGTTATGCAAACTACAAGACCAAGATTAATGCAAGTGCACATTTCTTTCAAAACCAGTACATATTATGTGTACTATATACTTTGCAACTGATAGTATCTGTTTAAGGCAACAAGATCAAAAGAAAGCTTGGCAGGTGTTGGGGGAAAAAAGAGAAATGAATAGGTAGGCAGGGCACAGGATTTTAGGACAGTGAAGCTCTTCAATTCACTGAAAATACCATTACCTATAACTTAAGAAAATTAAATCATGTTATGAAACACTTTTAACTTTAAAAACAAATTAACTCTAGGATATTACTATCCAGAAAGTTAATTACAGAATATTGCTTTGTCTTATGTAGATCTTAAATGGAAGATCTAGAATTTCTATAAATGATTTTAAAGTATGAGCCTTTTCTTTTTAATTATATTTATCCTCTGAGGTAGGACTATGACATAAATAGACTATAAAACCAAAGTTTATAATATTTACATACTAAAAAGGGGACATGAGTTTTCTGCAGAGGAAAAACTAAAGTCAGATTATTCAGGCATATGTGGGTATCTACACTGCTTTCTTTCTCCCTGCTTGTCATTGCTGCCATCCCAACAATAGCTGATTCCAAAATTAGGACAGCTCAGTGTTTGTGTACATGCAAAACTTCTCTTTTAAAATTTTGTATCACTGTTAGCATTTCGGCAGATCACAAGTAAATTACAACTATCTCCCAATAAATTCATCTTCATGTAACCATCAGATGTCTGTCCCTTGAAAACCTCCTTATTCAAGATCTTACCATGGTTCTCTCTAGTGATGGGTTTCAAGCACTTTACAATCTCATAGCATCAAACCATATCCAGTTATTCAAAATGCTATAAGCGGAGAGAATTTTTTCAATTGACTAACTGAAGAATGGGAGTCAAAGTACAAAGGGAGAAGTCAAAGAGAACTAGCTTATTCCTTTCAATGACTGGGTACATGCTAGTGATAGCAATCAGGAAAAAAAATGCAAGAGGAAAAATATACATTACTTGGTATTTTCCATGATATCTCACATGGAAATAAAATGTAAAATGGAGATAGCATTGAAATTTAAACAAATGATAGCTCAAAAGGGAAAATTCTATTAAACATTCAAAGAAAATAAAAAGGAACTTAAATATAGCCAGAAATAAATTAGAAAAAAACAAAAATATACTCTTTTGTTTAGATGTGCTTTTGCCTCATGTCATCTTGTTGTCCTAATTATGTGAAGCAATCTAATGTACATTGTTGGAGTGCAAATTTAGTCCCTAACATTATTCTTGAACTCTGTGTTTAAGAGCAGGAAAAATGAGTCTGGACAACTTCATTGCTATTACTAAGCCAGGATTCTTTCAGAGGTAAAAAGAAAAAAAATAGTTTAAAAGGACAAAGAGGCCAGCTTTTAAAAAAAAGCACTCCATACAGTCCAAGTTGTGATAATTTAGGCATCTGAAAGATGCCCAAAATGTATCAGATGGTTACACAAGAGGTATTACTGTTAGAAAGTATGCTACAGTCTCCAGTGTTGTCTATCAGGTATGTTGTATATATTATCTAGTGACTAACTCCAATCACATGTATCCTACTCCAGTATTCTGTTTATAAACTGTTACCAATATTAGTAAACAAAAATAGGAAGGCCATCCTTAGAGTATATTTAAAATTATACATTTAATTATTGGGTCTCATATAAAAGTTGATTAAAAACACTGATTAGGAGATAATGTGAAAATGCAGAGGTTTCTTTTTGTAGGGAAATGAGTGTAGAACAGATATAAAGATTAGGAAATATTAAATATGCATTGCATTTGACTATAAAATCTACTGTTTAGGTTGAACAGGCATCAAAGGGTAGGTTAGTAAATTCAGGAGAAACCAGAGGTCAAACAGACCTATAAGGGGCCTTTCAGACAATGAGGGCGGGGAGAGAAGCAGAACTATGGAATGATCTGAGTTATAATAAATAAAAAGAGGTCGTTCATGAACACATGTGAAATTCAACCCAATGGAGTAGAGTATCTACGTTCTCTCCCAGTGCTGAATAAAATAAACACATAAAAATAAAAGAAATTAATTAGGGTTCAGTAAACATGTTCTAGTTATTTCTATTTTACAAAGAAAGGTCTGGGATATAATAGGATGGGATATTATGGAGGGGAGATATATACAGACCAAAATAAGGTCATAAGAAGAATGAATCTGACTTATGTTTTATTCACTAGACGTGTGAGCTCTGGGTCATAGAAGCTATTGCTTCCCCCAGAAACTCATTACAAGTGAGTGCAGGAATATCCTGTAGCTGTACCTTCACAATGTCTCAGTTGTTCTTATAAACTAAAAAGCCTGGAAGGAAAAATCCAGAAAGACCAGAAGCCTAAGTCTCAAAAAAGCTGGAAATTTTCTCTCCTGGCAGCTGTTTAGAAAGTCTGGGTTAAATCAACTTGGAAAGACTACTGATGGATTGTTCTCTCCCCTTCACCATTAACACAAAGGTTAGCAGCTGTCCACAGTGGGGAGGAAAAAATAGTCAACAAGTAGCTTCTCAATAAATTCTCATTAACTGAATTTCCTTGTTTATTTCCTTTTGGATTTATAGAGAAATAATTTATAAAGAAATTAACTGAATTTATAATTTATAAAGAAATTGAAACAAATTCATTCACTCACTACTTAATCATGAAAAACTATTACTGAATGTACATGGTGTTTACTTTGTATTGCAGAGCCAGAGATTTTAGGGAGAAACTGCAGAATAGGTGATGATAGTCTAAAAATCTTTGGTTCTTGATGGCTGTAGACTGCTTATATTTAAGATTTGAGTTGACCCAGATAACAGAGCCAGACTGTACATGTGCTTACATGTACACATAAATACATAAATTAGCATGACTGCCTCACAAGAGCATAAATTTGCTTAATATTTATATATTGAGAATACCTACAAAATCAGTGCATCTTAGTTTACAGACAGGAAACCAGTGTTATGAGATATGAGACATTATAAATTTTATCATAATTCATCTAAACCAGTATTATGCTTACCTGTGTTTAATAAATATTGTCTCTGATGTGTAAAAAACATTAGGCACTAAAGAGGTGGCACAAAGAGGCAGTACAGCAAAGTGATCCAAAACATGAATTTTGGTGGTAGGTTGCCTTGGTTTGTTTCTTGACTCTGCCACATGTGAACAGGGCTACATACCTAAAATTTCCAGGCCTTTGTTTCCTTATCCATAAAGTGCAGACTGTCTTATAAAGTTGCAGTGAGAAGTAACAGAGTATGGTGTGAGCTACTAGAACAAGCTGAGCATAGAGGCCTAGATTTATTATTGAAAGTAGCTTACAATCTAATACTGGACACTGTATCAGGGCAATGAATAACTGAGGTCAAGACTTGTGGGCAATGCCACAAGATCCCAAGGGACTACAATTTTCATAGCAAAGTTCTATTGGTTTATCCTGTTTCATAATCACACATATATTTGTTATATTTAAACTGAAACTACCAAGCTGCTGCTTTCTCAATTTGTTCTGTACATTTTGATATGTGTAAAACTCACTGATAGTCTATTTTAAATATTCTTTATGATATAATCAATGATAAATATATATTTATGATAGATATTTTATAAATATTTTATGGCAAAACATAGTTTACTCACTTTATACTAAAATTTGAGAATAATGTTTGATTTCTTGCCATAGATATATATCATATTCTCTCGAATATAATTTCTCCAACAAATAGAAACTTGTTTTTATTCCCCACTTTTAATTTTACATGACATAAATATGAAAACCAAAAAGTGTGTTGATAAAGTAGACAATTACTTTTAAATTATAGCTTTCAATAAATCTAGCTTATATTAATACCATAACTTTTATCTTAGACCTTTTTCTTTACTCAAAATAATATTAATTAAAAAGTGATGATTTTAGAAAACAAATGTACATGTAAATATCTGAATATAAAACAACTCATTTACTAGTTTAGAAAATATAGCCATTCCCTCAAAACAAAATTTCTTTATGAGTCACTAAATTTATCAGGCTGGAAGTAGCAGAATTTCAAAATATCTGTCAATAAAAATTCAATGAAACTTCACAAATATAGCAGTATGATAAATGCAAGTGAAAGCTGGTAAAACCAAGCAAACTGTTACCTGGGCAAAGATAAATCACTGTTTCAGTTTTGCTTACCAAAATATCTTAGACAGTTTTCAAAAAAAGCTTAGTCATCTCAGATTTTAATTTTTGTTCTCCAGCATCGCAAGTTTCTCAAAAGTCAATGGACTTCTTGAATTAGTGTTATGTATTCTAGATATACCGGTACTAACCTCAAAATACAATCCTTCTATTAATATAATTTTCATAAGAAGAAACACCCCAGAAAAATAAAACAATGCACTCACCACTTCCACTGATTATATCAGGTTTGGCCTTCATTATTTTGCAAAATTGTCTTTGGTAGTTTTCTATCCAATCAGTTTGTTTATCAGACATCTTGAAGTGTAATAAAATTTTGCTGAGATCGTTGTCTAATAAGAAAGATAGGATGTATTATTATAAGACTTGCTAAATACATTGAAAAATTAAGTATTAATGTTAAGCATGTAAAGCTATGAATTCTAGAAATATATAGACTATATATGGCTTTCAAAGGAAAAACATTTTTCTGTAATTACATCTTATACTATCAATTGCTGTTTACCACATTTATTATAAATAGTACTGACACAGCAGTGACAGTTGGTGGAAGGGCTGAAGATACCAGGAAACTGGTTTGGAGGAGAAAAAGAACTGCTGAGCTGGAGACAGACTGACTACAGGACTCCTAGAGAGACAACTGTATTATTTACACACTTGTGGTTACAGTTTCCCCTAACCATCAATAGAAGTATGAGCTTTTCAATTTGCATTTCTCGCAGTTAAAAATATTAACGTTAATTGACAAATGTATATCTATCATATTATTATGTTTAGGAGAACACTAATTCCCTTATTTCACACTCCAGATCTGGGTTCAACTGAGAAGTAGACAACAGTAGATAAATGGAGTTCAAAGTATTAGCGTTAATACCAAAACAGCTAAATTAGGCACCGTTATTGAATCTGTGGCCACACGGACTTACAAATGTCTCCCCTGAACTGAACAAATCTACTCAATCACAGACTATGGCAGACAACTAAAGTCCTCACCTGAGGGCTCTTGTCACAAACAGTGTCAATATAACCTAAAGATAGGCTCACTTGAATGTATAACCTACAACTAGCCTAATCCAAGATTTTTCCATTCCTTCTCCCAAATTCACCTTCCAAACATTTTTCTTACTTAACTAAGTGTAGAATAAGTAAGAAAGTCCAGAAGAAGTCAATGGTGTTAATTCCAGCAAAGGCACCTGGTATACAGAAAAATGGGACAGGGGAAAGAGAATCACAGGAATGGTATCTTAGAATATGACAACTCGAAATTAGTAACTATGTGAGTGGAACTGTGAATGACACATAGGATTTTACGTTTCCCAAAATTTTGATGTTTATAATCACACACACACAAAAATAAAAAAACAGAGTTTTGCTTCTGGTCATGAAGGAGAACAGACTAGACTTGCCATCCTGCTGCAAACAACTCAAACACCAAATAAAAAATATCAAAAGACTGTTTTCAGACATTGGACGAGAGATACTGAAAGACGGCCATATGTGAGAAAAGGGAAACTGACGAGGTGAGCTTTCTAATTAGCTTTCTTTTTTTTCTTGAAGGCACATTTAATATTGCTGTGTAGAAAGGGCGAGCCCATGAAATCTTGATGAATTGAAGAGACAAAAGTTAAACTGCAGAAAGCCTGAGAAGACTAAAATTTGTGGATCAGAGTACTGGAGAGGAAAAGCAGACAAAGAACTTGAGAAATGTGTGTAAGTCTTTGTTAAGTTGATTGCAAAATAGTCAGCTGGGCAGTTGAGGAGTAAAACTCCCACAAGGCTGGGCAAAGGACAGCTGGGGATTGTAAAATGAACAATTCCCACGTAAATACATGTAAGTCTAAGAGTTATCCAAGTTCCAGTCAGAGTGAAGGGTCCTCCTTAACTACCAGGGCATTCCTCAGAAGTGCCAAAAAAGTCACACTTCAGTGAAGGAGCTAAATTAGCCATAAATAAAAACAACTCTACACTCAACCTAACCAAAAAAAAAAAAAAAAAAAAAATTAAAGCTTTACAACACTAAACTGATCCATGAGTAACATAACCTACATATCAAAAAATGTCCATTACTCTTTAAAGAGAGACAACAAAATTCAGCACTCAATTATGTAAAATTAATAATGTCCAATATTCAATTTAAAAAAAAAGCTAATATGAGGAAAGAAAAAAATGTGACTCATAACCAGTAGATAAATGAATATATACTAAGAAAAAACAGAAGTGATACAATTAATTAGCAAAGGTTTTAAAGCAGTGTTTTGGGGGGTGGGGTAAAGAAACTACAAACAAAAGGAGGATATTTAACCAAATTGTACTGTAGTTTGAAAATACTAGAATCTCACTCAGTTAAAAAAAAAAAAGCAATAATACATGTAATAAACAGGATGAATATCAAAACCATTGTGAAAGAAAGCAGAAATAAAGGAAGTATCCTAAATGATTTTATTTGTATGAAATGCTAAAATATGAAAAACTAATTTACAGCGGTGGCTCTCAGATGGACTAGGTTTTTGTTCTCCAAGGACACATCAGCATGTCTAGAGACACTTCTGGTCGTCACATTTGGGAATGGGGCCTATGGAGAGAGCTCGACTGGCATCCAGTGGGCAGAGGCCAGGGATGCTGCTAAAAGTCTTGTATTGCTCGGGACAGCACACTGTGGCAGCAATTGCCCAGTCCAACATAGTGCTGAGGCTGAAAAATCCTCATCTACAGAAATGGTAAAAGTCGGTGATTGCCTTTAGCTGAGGGTAAAGATAAGCTGACTGCAAAGAAACAAAGGGAGCTTTTGTGGGGTCATAAAAATGTTCTATATTTTGATTAGGGTGGTGGTTATGTGGGAATAGAGATCTGTCAAAATTCAAACTGCATTCTTTAAATGAATACGTTCTGTTGTGTATGAAATTGATTATGTATGTGTACATATGTGTGAATTAAATGTATGTGGTATAATTCAAAGTAATGTGACTAAAACCTTCTAAACTTAGTAGTGTCATTAAAATATGAGCAGTTATAGTTTATAATTTGGAATAAAGTCTATATTAGAACTTCACTAAATTTTAATTAAAAGTATGTGCATGTATATAATAATTGATTTGCAAGAATTCTGATCACTGTATAAAAGTGTTTTAAAGTACAAATTTTCGAATCCTCATTAATCTCATGTTCTGGCTGTTTTCTGGGTACAATCCATTCTCCTGTAATTATACAAATATTCACTTCTTAGGGTTAAATGAGAAAACAATGTATATATTTCACCAGGAAGAACATAGGTTTATATTCTATATATTGACTGAATAATCCCTTCCTTAACTTATACTTTATTTTTGATAAGCACCCATTTTTACATATTTCTAACCATACAGTATTATTTTTAGAGACAGTATGGTATAATAAATTAGGTTTCAATATATCAATTATATATCAAGCTATGATGAAATCACCAAGGAAAACTAGCATTTTGTTTCCCGAGAAAGGTGTGGTGTGTCTAGGGAGTAAAATAGAGAAGGGTGTGCTCTTCCTCTCTATGTTCTTTCAGAGCACTATGATTTAGCAACTATGAAAAATTGGAAGAGAAGTAAAAAATATACAAATTTTAAACTCACTCCTTATTATCACTGTGGAAATAGAAAAGAAAAAAGAAACATCAAGTTTTGTGTTTATAAACTTTTACCCATCATAGCTGATAATATTTTATATCTAAACTCTGAAATTCTTTGTTATGGTAAGTACTATGACATTTTCATACTTAATGATATTGTATAGTTTGTTTCTCAAAAGATTATTATATAGAAAATTATATTGATTATAAAGTTATTATAGATAATGTGAAAAGAGCCTCAATTTCAAGGGCAGGAAACATGCAAATAATATAAATTTAAAGAAAAATCTGCTATTTACTCAGAAAACTTTCAGTACTTCTTTCCTAGGATGTCGGTCAGTAATTTTCAATGTCCACTTTATATATAATATAAAAACAGATGCTACAAAAAAAATAAAATGAATGGAAGATTTCATAAAGCAACAGATTCCAAAGCTTCACTTATGGCCACCTTCTATTATCTTGAAGCTTATTTGTGGAATATTTGCTTTCCATTTGCATTTTTGCTTACCTCGTCTCTTCTTCCATGTAAGTTAACATACTCATTTCAATGTACTCTTATTATAATAAAGATGTTAGTCTTTGGAGTGGTCAAGAGTCTATATATTCAAGAAGCAATTGGAAAGATGCTTAAATTCTCTGATTACTAAAGTTCTCTGTAGCTCTCTAAATTTGGGAGTATCTACCATTTTACACATCTTTTATTTTGTTTGAACAGCTGTAAATTCTTAATACATGAAATCTACATTTTATACAGATTATTCTCCATTTTGGAATTATTGTATCAGTTTTATTTTTCTTTAATATGTGATAATTGAGCATATAGTATAGGAGAAATCAGTGAAGAGTCTTCCAAAAATGAGGAATTACTTTTGCTTTATCACCTGCACCTAAACTAGCAGGTGATCTATTCCCCTGTACAAAGTACATAAAAATAAAAAGTTTTACTATCCAAAGAAAATACTTTGATTTTTAATCGAAGTTTCTCAATGGCTGTAGCTCAAGATTTACTACATGGGAAATAAACTATAATCTCAGACTCCCAATTTCCTTAATTAACAAGATGAAGTCAAATAAAAGTCATTTACCTTTATCTGCAAAAAGCAAATCTTAATTCCAGGGTTATGAATAATAAGGAAAAAAAGAATGAAAATATGTCTGACTCAATATAAAGGCCTAAGAAATATTTGATAAAAGGGTGAACTCATCACCAAAGATATTTATAGACTGACTATATGTGCAAGACAATATAAAAAGGCTTCTAAAATCAGAAGAAAAAACAATGTCATTATCATGTTGTATTACTTTTTATATAGTACCATGCTATTTTTCAAAGCACTTTCCCATATTTTCCTCTGGGGTTCTATTTTTAATTGATTGGAAAAGAAGCTGTAATTCTAATTCTTACAAAATTTATCAGACTAGCAACGAGGGCAGTCTCATCTACTCATTTGTGAATTGGGCAATTTTCAATCTTTTATTAAAATGTAGTTGTCATTGTATGTCATTTAATTCTCCCTTTTCTTTCCTTAAAATGTTTATTTCTACATACTATGTAGATTGCATTTCAACTTTGAATCTATGCTGTTAGGATTGTACAATGGGTAGTCATACCACTTGTAGATTAAAAAGACATGAAAATAATTCATTAGGGCATGGAGTTAATGTCTGAAAAGACAGAAATTATCAAAGTTTCAGCAAGAAGCAGTATCAGTGTATAAAGAAATAAACGCA